CCCGCTCCGCAGCTGGCGACCCGCCCTCCCCTCGCAGGCCGCTTCCTGCCCCTCCTCCCTCTCCTCCCTCCAGCTGTTTCTCTGGCTGAGCCCTGGTCCCTGTCGCTGTCCCATTCAGGGCAGCAGCCCTGGCGAGCAGGCAGCTCGGGACGGAGCGGGGCTCCGGGAAGCCTCGTGGGGGCGGCTGCGCTCTGGGGGACTCTACGGGGGTCGCCAAGGGACCGAGAGCCCTGGGACCAGGAGGAGGAAGCCAGGGACACAAGTGTCCCCGGGAAGACGGAGCCCCGAGAGAAGGTATCAGGCTGGCTTTTGGACGTCTTGCAAAGGGACAGGGGAGGGGACCGCGGGGACAGCAGTTCCGATCTCCTGGTAACTTACTACTATTTGTCTACAGGCAAAGAGTTTTGAGGTCATTTTCAGATTTCAAAAGTAACGCCTGCTGTTTACCAACCGACGACAGCAGGGACAACAGCGTCCTATAGGGATGGGGACCCCATGCACGTGTGGCCGCACAGAATCTCCCACCATCTGGGTGGGAAGCCTGCTGGGTCCTCAGCCACCGACCCTGAACTTCCGTGCAGATCATTTCTATCTTTGCCAACATTCATTTTGAGGGCTGCGTGGGAAGGGGCCCGGGGACTCACTGAGCGCTCTGCGGTAGATTTGTCATTATTTTGAAGGTGCCACGCTTTCCCCAGTGGGTCATCTTTTGTGTTTGTCGTGGGGACCCCTTTTCAGGGGTGCAACTGCGTCCTGGTGGGTGGCGCCAGCTCACAGTCTCTATGGCGTTGTATCTGGGTGCAGGGTTCTCACATCTCAGTTACCCACCCCTTGGTCCTGAGGACCTGAGACTCTTATCCAGATGCTTCGATGGATGTGCATTTCTTATTAATGTTGATGGTTCGCTCTTCTTTGATTATCCTGTTCAATTCTGTTCCCATTCTCCACCCCTGGGAACATGTGTTTCTTTTTATTGATATTTAGGAGTTCTTTGCATATGAAGGGTAAGATCCCTGTGCCAGTGTGTTCTGTTGAAAATATTCCACCCCCCCTCCCCTCCCCAGACCTGGTCTCCAGGACAGGAGAGGCTGGCCGTCCCCCCAGTCAGCTGCATGCACACTGCCAACCTGCCAGGACTTCTGTCTGGGTGGGAGGAGGCCTGAGGACCGCCATGCTGGCCCTCCTGCCTGGTGAACTTGGAGTCTGCTGGCCGCTGGCCTGCAGGAAGGGCTACTCCCTCACTTGGGAAAAACGGCTTCCTAATGCCCAACGGGGAGGAGAGGAAACCCAGCTTTCAGCCTCGTGCCAGATCCCGCGCTGAGTTCCCCACTGTGGTCTGGTCTCCGGTGACTGCTCCATTCCTCTCATTTGGGGAGGAGAATTGAGATTCAGAGAGGCTAGGAAGTTGCACAAGGTCACACAGCCAGCAGGTAGAGGAGGGGCTCCGACTCAGCTCTGGCCGGCGCCTGAGGTCAGCGTCCTCTGGGTGCTACAACCAATCCCCATGAACTTGGTGGCCCAAGACAGCACAAAGTTAGATTCCTACGGTTCCGGGTTCCGGAGGCCCAAGGGCCCAACCGAGACTCAGGGTATCACCAGGGGACAGCAGGCTGGTCCCTCTTGGAGGCTCCAGGGCAGACCGTGCTTCTCGCCCCTCCAGGCCACCAGAGGCTGCCAGCTGCTTGGCTCCCTGCTCCTCCATCACCGGCCTCCTCCCGCCTTCCCACAGGGACCCTTCCCAAGCCCGCCTCCACATCTCCAGGTCCAAAGCACATCTGCAAAGACCCTTCCCTGTCACCAGGGAGGTGGCATAGCCTCAGGATTGGGGGTTAGGACAGGGACATCCTCTGCGATTCCTCGTTTCTGTTGGTCCTGGACACGTGCCCTGGGTATCCTTCCTGGTACTTCAGGGGTCCTTAGGGGGCACCCTATCCCATCCCTCGAGTGCAGTCTCCAGCAGGCAGGCTCCCTAGGGTGGGGCCTGGACGTCCTGCTCACCAGCCTGGGCCTGGCACACAGAAGGAGGCCAGGAAATGGCTCTTGAGGGCTGAATGAACCAGAGAAGTTCAGTGACTGGCCCAAGGCCACACAGGCGGTCTGGCCGGA